GCGAGGTAATAGGCGACCCCATACCAGAAATCAAATGGATGCGTGATTCTAACGAGGTATCTGCCGATGGGAATCATTACGTGATACAGGAGGATGGAACATTAATAATATCAGATGTGACGGAGCAAGACACCGGTGAATACGAATGCGTGGCTAAAAGTGAAATGGGTTTGACAAAATCGAGAAAGGCCAGGGCGGTGATCACGGTGTCACCGTCGTTAAGATTCACCGAATTACCCGAGTCACAGACTGTCCAAATTGGCGTAGATGTTTCTTTCATTTGCAAAGTGGATGGTCGCCCTACTCCTAATATTCAATGGTGGAGAAATGGTCAATTGTTGAACGTGGGTGGTCGTGTCGCCATTGAGAACGAAGGAAGTTTATTGAAAATTTTTGCCGTGAAGGAAACGGACACGGCAAGATACGTTTGCCAAGCGAGAAACTCTAATGGATACGCCGAAACCAGTGCCGATTTGAACGTGGTGGACGAGTCTTATAGCCCCCCTAGGATGACATATGAGCCTCACGATATGGAGGCGGAACCTGGGACCATTATCGAGGTACCTTGCAGAGTGGAAGGGATCCCAAAACCGGTGATACAGTGGAAGAAGGATGGAACAGCTATGGAAGGAGAAAGATTTAAAATATCTCGTGGGGGAAGCTTGTATCTTTATAATGTTACTGCTGGAGACACTGGAAGGTGAATTTGAATACTTTGTTTCCAGGATTTTTTAAGAGAAAAGTTTGTTTAAGAGAAATATATTACCATGTAAAAGTTTAGGAAGCAATAAAGAATTTTAAATAAAAAGTCACATATTAAACTTATGTATTTTTTATAATTAAAATTAGCTGAATAATAAAAAAATATATTGAAAAAAAGATGATGACAAAATCTTAATATCTTTATTTTTTATTTATTTATTAATTTTTTAATTTCTTATTATATTTAAAATAATTGTCAATGTCAATAAACAATTTTTTTATTTCGTACAAAAATATTATTGCTTTTAAACTTTTTTACGGTAATGTATAAATGAAAGAAGTCGAAGAATGATACAAATAATGAAATTTTAACTATAAATCTTAATAGTAATAATAATAAATACAAATTATATAATTTGTCTTAAGTTAAGCTATTCAATGCATCCTCTAATTGAATTTTTTTCCCTTATCTTCTATGATCAGACATTGAAACTTGAAATATTGAATAATAAGAAAAAAGTTTTTAAAGTATAATAAATTTTTAAAATCAAACAAAATTAGGTATGAATGTTCGGCTGTGAACCAATATGGCCGTGCAACTGCTCAAGCTTTGGTGCGTGTTCGCCAACCAGAAGCAACAGATGTGCTAGTAGAAAGAGCTTTTAAGGATGCCACAGAAGAGATCGATCGAGCCATAAACAACACTTTGATGGATCTTTTTAACGGTGACAGACCTCAACACGTGAATCCATTTAGACTTGCACGTTTCCCAGATGCTGTTGGTCGTGCGGCTGCCAGACCAGCAGAAATTTTTGAAAGAACACTTGTTAATATACGACGAATGGTAAATTCTGGCTTGAGCGCAAACACTACCACTGAATTTCGTTACGAAGAAATTCTGACAGCAGAACAGGTATGTTCTTTGAATTAATTATTTAATTAAAATAATTTTGTTATCTTAAGTTAATATAAATATGATAAGGATCAAATTTATGTAATTTTTAATTTAATATCACTACTATCTAAAAAATAATTTCTCTTCAAAAAATGATATCAATTAGTAATAATCACTATTATTAAGATGTACTATTTTACTCAAAGACAATGAAAAAAAAGAAAAAATTGATATAAAGTCATATTGAAATCATATTACTTATTAATTCATATTAAATTTTTTTAAAAACGTTAGCAAAAAAATAATTTTAAAAACGTTTTAGCAAATTTTATTAATTTTTTTTCTATAGAATAATTTTTTTCAGAATAAATAAGAAAAAAATTCTGCAATTTTATTATAGGTCAGAGAAATCGAAAGATTATCCGGATGTACTGGTCACAGGCATCGTCAGAATTGCACGAATATGTGCTATCACAATAAATACCGCAGCATTGATGGTAGTTGTAACAATCTACGCTATCCCACTTGGGGTTCCTCTTATACTGGTTTTCGTAGAGTTTTACAACCAATTTATGAAAATGGATTTTCATCACCAGTCGGTTGGGAGAAAGATCGCCTTTATTATGGATATCCGAAACCTTCGGCACGTTTAATCTCCACAACTCTGATAGCCACTCACAAAGTGACTTCAGACAATGGGATAACACATATGGTGATGCAATGGGGTCAATTTCTAGATCATGATTTAGATCATGCTCTTCCAGCAGTTTCCAGCGAATCTTGGGATGGTATAGACTGCAAAAAATCTTGTGATAATGCTGCACCTTGTTTCCCCATGGACGTTCCCCGTAATGATCCCAGAGTTAATAATAGAAGGTGCATCGATTTTATTAGGACTAGTGCAGTTTGCGGTTCGGGTGCAACTAGTATATTATGGGGTAGTTTTACCCCTCGAGAACAATTAAATCAATTAACTAGTTACATGGATGCTTCTCAAGTATATGGTTATGATGATACTTTAGCCAGAGATCTGCGTGATCTCACTACTGATCATGGTCTATTACGAGAGGGACCAACAATTCCTGGTCATAAGCCTCTACTTCCATATGCTTCTGGTCAATTCGTTGATTGCAGAAGAAATCCTATAGAAAGCACTATCAATTGCTTCGTAGCCGGAGATATCAGAGCCAATGAACAAGTAGGTCTTTTGGCGATGCATACAATATGGCTGCGCGAACATAATCGCATAGCTCGTTCCTTACGTGATATGAATCCTCAGTGGAATGGAGAAAAATTGTATCAGGAGGCCAGAAAAATCGTTGGCGCCGAAATGCAGCATATCACTTATCAACAATGGATTCCTCATGTGTTTGATGGTACTGCAGAAGAACTTTTAGGTTCATATCGTGGTTATGACTCTAATCTTGATGCTAGTGTTTCCAATGTTTTTGCCACTGCAGCTTTGAGATTTGGTCATACTTTGATTCAACCTCGATTGGAACGTTTTAACGAATCTTTTCAATCAATTCCTCAAGGTCCTCTTAAGCTAAGAGACGCCTTCTTCTCACCTTGGAGATTGGTTGAAGAAGGTGGCGTAGATCCATTGATGAGAGGAATGTTTGCCACTGCAGCGAAATTAAAATTACCAGAAGAAAATTTGAATACAGAACTTACAGAACAATTATTTCGTACTGCTCATGCAGTTGCATTGGATTTAGCTGCAATGAATATCCAACGTGGTAGGGATCATGCTCTACCAGGCTACTTGGAATGGCGAAGATTTTGCAATATGTCTCACGTAGAGACGTTTGAGGATCTCTCTGGTGAAATTCGTAGCGCTAAGGTTAGACAAAAGTTAAGAGAATTGTACGGTCATCCTGGGAACATAGATGTTTGGGTTGGTGGAGTATTAGAGGATCAACTCCCTAATGCAAAAGTAGGACCACTTTTCAAATGTCTTTTATTGGAACAATTTCGACGTACTAGAAATGGTGATAGATTTTGGTATGAGAATCCAATTGTTTTTAAACCAGAACAACTCGCTCAAATTAAACAGACGAGTTTAGCTAGAATTCTATGTGATAATGGTGACAATATTAACAGAATTCAACCAAATGTGTTCTTATTGCCAGAAGGTGATAATAAATTCGTTACTTGTGATGAAATTCCATACATGGATTTAAGAGTTTGGTCTGAATGTTGTGATGGATGTGAAGATCATAGTAATACGATTTCGAGATTTAGGCGTGGTGCAATCAAATATTTGCCATCGAAAAACATTTTTAATCTGAAGAATATAAATGCAGAGAATTATAGCGAAAAACTTGAATATTTAGAGAAAAAAATCGAAGAAACGGAGCAAGAATCTAAAAGAATTAGAGATCTTGCAGAATCTTTGTCTTATATGATAAAAGAACTGAAATCTCTTTTAGAGAACGTGAAAAGATCGAAGTAAATCAATAGATGTGCCATTGTTTCAATAGGCATTTGATTTTATTATTTTATATCTAAATTCACTTCATTTTAAATATTCATTTTAAATATTGCATTATTACATCATTGTACAATCTGAAGCCTGATTGAATTTAAGAAAATTAAATCTTTATTGCTTTTATCATCGGATTTGAATTTGTTATTTAAGTGTTTATTATTATCTCTAGTCTTATATACTTTAGTACTAAAGTACTTTTAATACTAAAAAGAGCTTAATGATATTTATATAAGCAATAGAGCTTATTTACTTATTGCGATTTTTCATAATTTTTATTTTGTATTACTTGAATGATATATACATATATATATATATATATATGTATGTGTGTGTATGTGTATATGTATGTGTGTGTGTATGTTTTGACTTAGATGAAATGATAAAAATATTTTAATCATATTTTATGCAGTAATATTTTTCCTTGTGAACAATGCAAGAGTTTATGCATATCACTTTATTCCTTTCTCTTTTATATAGATAATAAATAAATATCATACTCATTATATGTTAGTGATATAAAAAGTAACTTGTATTAATAAGTTTTGTGTTTATCACAAATTTTAAATAAAAACAAATCACAAATACAATTATAATTTAATATATACATTTTTATATTAATTACTAATATGAATATAATTGAACAATTATATTTTTATGATTTTGTGCCATGTGTTATCTTATATTATGTACATGTTAACTTTTATAAAATTTCTAAAAGTATTGTAGAAAATAATTATTAATATTTTTTAAGAATATCTAAATTTTTAAAGATTTTTGTTAAATCAAAATATCTATAAAAAAGAATAGATTAATATTTGAAGGATATTGTGATGCAATGTTCAATAAAGAAGTTGTATTCATTTATGTAATAACAAATAATATATACACATTAAGACAGTACTAGAATATATTTAAATTTTATAATATACTATTGTACTATCTATATACATATATAAAGTGTTCATTAAATATTAACAATATATAATAATATATGCATTATTTTATTTATTTTACTTTCCAATAAATTTTATGTGAGTTCCATTAACAATTACATCTTTCCCTGCATTTTTTGTAATATCTATTGAAACAAAACCTACTGTTTTTCCAACACGTATAGTTCTTGCATTAATTGTTATCAGTTCTCCAAAAAGAGCAGGTTTCATAAATCTATATATATTATTATATTTATGTTATATAATTAATTAATATATATATATTTCTTATATATAAAAAATTTAATATATTATTTTTTATATATAAGATGTATAAAAAATATATAAAAAGTTATATTTACGTAATATCTAAATTTAATGAAACACCTGGTTTGTTATTTTTTTCATGGGTTATTAAAGCATATGTAGAGACAGCATCAATAAGAGTAGATGTAAAACCACCATGCAACAATCCATATAAATTTAAATGTTCTTCGGATATAACCAATTCTGCTTTACAATTTCCATTTCCTGCTGATACGATCTGAAGCTATTTAGAAAAAAATAATTTACAATAAATTAAAAATAAATTTATTACTATAATATTTAATTTATTAATAAAAAGAAAAGTTAGAAAATATTAAAAACTTAACTTTTTGTAAACATTGTGCGAAATTATGCGTTTTAACAATTTTGTCCAAATATGATCTAATGAATTGCGTTTTGCACATGATTAAATTTGTATACTTTTCGATTTTTCACTGAAATTATATAATTTCAAATAATTAGTTACTTCTAAAATATTTTTATTATATTTACAAAAAGTAAGATAATATTTAATTTATAAAAATTTTATTAAAATTTTAATTATGTTAAGTTAGATACTAACCTAACTTATATATATATATATATATATACACATATATACATATGTAAGATGACAGGAAGTTCTTACTTATCGAAATATTATTTATTTACTTATTATTTATAAAAATGAAATAAAGATAAATATAGAATGTAGATAAAATAGTATCCAATGCAAATATTTAATATATTTTATTAAACTATATCAATTTAAGAAACTTTTATTTATTTATTTACTTATTATTTATAAACATGTGAAATAAAAATTAATAAATTTTATTAGAATGCAGATAAAATAATATTCAACAGAAATATTTTCATTAAATTTTATTCATTTTCTAATCATTATGCAGAATAGAGCAAAACTCTGATTATTTTGAATGTTTATCACTTTTAAAAATATTGAAAAATTTTTTAATATAAAAATTGTATGAAATCGATGCAAAAGTTATAGAATTTATTAAAACATTTCCAGAAATAAAAAAATAAAAATAATTTTTAAAAAATGAAGATGACTTTGATTTTGAAATATCCAAAAATCTTACATTTATAAAAAAATTATTATAGTTGCATTATAGCTCTCTTTACATTGACAAATTTTATATAAAAAAATTTTTAGTATCTTTAAAAATTATGAAAATATTCAAGATGCTCTATTCTATTTATATATATATACATAAGTTTTAATTTTTATTTACGATATAAAATAATTAAAATAAAACCAAAAAAATGCAAATATAGATATAAATAGTAATTTATTTTTCATTATAATAAATATTATCATCATATCCCTTATAAGTTAAAATAAATTAAAATAACTTTTCAAAATAAACCTAAATTAAATTAATAGGTAATCCTTCTTTATTTAAAAGATGATCCTTAGAATCATTTAAATATTTAGGACCATCACTAATTTTAGTATAAATAATATATTTAAAACATCCTGGAGATTGTTTTCTTACATTAATATTATTGAATAGCTCCTAAAACAAAATCAAATGTTATTGATCATACATCAAATAAGATATGATTATTACACAAAGATGACAATATTTACTAGTGAATGTACAACTTCTTTAACAGGTAAACCTTTCCTATATTCCTCTAAATTAGTTGTTGTAGGGAAAAAATAATCTAATACTCCTAAAAATTCTGTTACATTTTCTTCTAAAAGATATAAAGTTGCATTTGGTCCTGCATCAAAAGTATATGCAACCTAAAATGAATAAATATATAACATGTTTTATCAAAATTTTAATATAAATTTTAATAGCTTATTATATATTACTATTTATTGATTTATTAAAAACTTGAAAAAATACCTTTATTTCTTTCACGGTTTCATTATAAGCATGAATCAAATTAACAATAGCATGTGAAATATCATTCATATAGACACATGGTGGATATGTATCTAAACAAGCTGCATGCATTTGATTTGAATCTCTCATTGTATGTTCAGCAAATGTTTTAAAATCTTTTTGTAGAATAGCCTGTTCAATACTTTTCACTCTATCAGGAACAAGATGTTTTACTCTAAAATTCAGAAAATCAGATGTTTCCATACCTCTTCTCATTCCAATTGCACTGGAAACATTTTTCTTTGCTTCATTTACCTATTATAGAATATTAAATGTAATGGAAAATATAGTATAAAAAATAATAAAATCAAAAATAATACATACAACTAATATTAAAATTCTCATTTCTGGCCAATAACTGGCAGGTACAATTTGTTTTGCTATACTGTCAGTCCCATCTATTTGAGAACCCATATACCATCTTACAAAACCTCCTAAAATACTGCGACATGCTGATCCAGAACCAACACGAGCTATTGCAGTAATATCATCCTAGAAATTAATATTGATACATATAAAATTCAATTAATTTTGCATGTTATAAAATTTATAATTATTTATTTGTTTATTTTGAAATACCTTTACTTCATATAATTTAGCAAGTGCTATTACAAGGCAAGCATAACCTGCAGCACTGGAAGCTAAACCAGCTGAAGTTGGAAAATTATTTTCTGAACAAATATGAATTTTCCATTGATTCTTATGATTGGAATTTCCTGCCCTTTTTTTAACTAAAATATAATATATTTTATTTTCTGAAGAAAAATTTAAAAACTTTAATATAATTACATACTTTCTGTTAAACAATTTTGCAATCTAATATTCTTAATATCTTCTTCTCTGAAACATTAAATTTATAATATTTTGAAATGTTTTTAATTCTTATTTTTATTTTTAAAATTTTTTATAATAAATATATTTACCGTCCATTTAACCATATACGATCGTGTTTAAAATTTGGACTAATCATCACAGTAGTTTTTGCACATAACTAAAATTTAAAATAAATGATTAAAATATATTACTTATATTTTATCTTATAAATATTAGTAATTTTTACATGATCAGTATCTAAAGTAGCGCTAATGGAATCATTTGCTGGCAATATTAACGTTTCGTCTCTTTTACCCCCTGTAAAAAAAACATTATATAGTGCTTTGAAAAATTCTATTCAAATTCAAATAATCAAGGAAGTTATATACATTTCAATGATATATGTAACATGTACTTCTATAATATTTCGAATGTTACATTTCTTCCATATATAAAACAATTAATACGAAAATAAAAATAAGATTTTCTAAAAAAAAAAATAAAATATTTTATTATTATTATTATTAATTTAAATGCGATTATTTGAATAAAAGTATTAAATATTGCAAATAAATTCTGCTGTTATTCAATTTATCTAGTTGATCTATATAATAAATAATATTTATATATAATTATTAATAAAAAAATAAAAAAAAATACATACAATATTTTACAACGGCAATATTAATAGGTGCGATACAAGTAACGATATTCATTTTTCTAATTTTTTTTCACTTCCTTTCTATCACTTATGCTATCGTATGTCATATAATTTTCTTCGAGTTTGTGCATAATATTTATATTCGAAAAACATAAACTATTTATAACCTAGATTGGCGATCATATAGTTCAATTTGTTTAACTTATTTTTTATTTATATTTTGTTCTTTATTTTATTTCTTCACTTTGCAATAACAAAATTTTTAATTTTTATCTTGAAATTATATTTTCTTATCAAAATATTTTCAAATGACATAATAAGTTTATGTATTAGTAAAACATTTTCACTTTTACGAAATTTTAATTTTTTGTTTAATATTACATTTTTGTTCATTTTATTTCTGTTTTATTTTAAAAATTTTATTAATTTATTTTTATAAATTGATAATTGATTATTCGATATTATTATTCGATATTCAAGAATAAAAAATATTAACTTATTACATCGATTTTATCGACAATACGTTTCCTTATTTTCTCAATAGATGTCATTGCTTTCTGATTACATTCCCGCTTCATGCTCGAGAACAATACTTGAGCCAGCCGGTTTTCAGTGTGATGCCGGTTGCGTCGACAGTGGGGGAGATTTGCACGATCCTCGGAGGGCTGTTCGTATCACGATTTCACACGGCGGGTATAGTACATATTCAAAGCGCGCGCTTGTTTTTTATGATCGGACAATCAGAACGGCGAAAAATGCAATGCATCAAGAAATATTGTAAGTGTTGTGCAAAATTATAAAACGAAAATCATCAAATAGAACAAAGAATTGAAAAACATGGTGAGATAAACGTGATCTATAAAGTGTATTGTGTATATTCAATGTTATTAAGAAACGGTGCAGATATAGTGGTGCAATTCGAATGATTATGTCCGCATCCCTTCCTTATTATTTTGCACATTCCATTGGTGAAGTTGTACGTTGTCGTTTCCTTTCTCTGAATAGTTCGAATTAGCACGCGGTCATCTCGGTTCGCGTACCAAAGAGACTTACGAGTTCTCGCGTTCACCGTGAAAAGAACAACGATCAAGAAGAAAAAGAAAAGAAAAGGACGAAAGAAGAAAGAAGAAGAAAGTAAAGCCAATGGAGCTGGTAGTACATGCATGATGATCAAATGGTCGCATTATGTCGAATAAAATCGCGATATAAAGGTGTTCCTGTAGAATATCTCGTGAGTTACATTAACCGAATCATTCTGTCATCTGTTTCAAAGAAGAGAGAGGTCGGTGGTTCTGTGTATTAGTGTACAATCGCGCCATGGGGCATCAGTGTTGGTTCTTCACAAACGACGGGACCTGAATGTGTGCATATTTCTCCTGGCTGACTGGCCTGCCTTCCACCGTTAAGCTGCATTCACAAAGGAAGCCGATTTTTGGGCAAGGACCGTATCTCGGTCGTTCTTGCCAAAAGTACGAATCGAACCGGTTAATGAGGACTATCTGGCTTCGATCGTCCAATCAGCTAGCAGGTAAGATCTCCATTAATGAGAATATCGATATTCTTTTACACATAAAACTAATTGAATTTTATCCGTTTTCCAAGTAAAAAGCAAATAGAAAAGATTTTAAAATTTATTTTATTTTTGATATTTATCTTCTATTAAAATCCTCTTGTCATAATTTGATATTTTTTTATTTCAATAGTTTTCATAATTTAATTGAATTAATGATTAATTATAAAAATTCCAAAGAATTCACTTGATTATTGATATCAATATGAGTGAATTTAAATCTAAACATATATCGATTTTTTTCGAATAATTTAAATAAAACTTATATTTGTACATCTTACAATAAAAATGATTGACTTATGTATATTTGGTTTTCAATTTTTTTTATTCGCGTCTGTTTTGTTTTCAGTTCTCCTTTCTGCGTCTTTCCAATAAGAAACATATATCGCGCTATAAATCATGAAAATCAATGGATTTTGCACTGAAATTAATGACTCGTGCGAAAGTAGCGGGATACATGCTCACAGGCCGTAAAACGCGTTCAATAGCACGTGGGGTGACTAAATGAGATCCTCCACTTTGATTCAGTTTCCAATGGATCCATAATCTACTTATCAAGCAATATTTATAAATAGTGAATCTTGACTTGTATCATATGATTTTATATGATTTTGTCATAAAAGTAATTTTTCTATCAATTATGATAAATCACCTTGTATGTTAGTTTTAATTATTATTTTATTTTTTTCTATATAAAGTTGCATTTATTTTATTCAAGTCAAAATATCTCCTTTCTATGTGTAATCAAAGAAATTTAATATAAATTTATCTTTAGTAATATTGTTTTATGTAATTTTTTGTGATTATTTTGAAAAATTAGTGACAAATTTATCGATTTCATATATATAAAGATTATATGCAAAGAATTGTATTTTCTTTTCGGATTTTATTCACAGTGGATGTCGCATTATAGCAAATCAGAGAGACGAAATTGTATGCGGTACGCGTTTACCGTTCCATAGTTATTGCTGCTATAGGTGGACGCGAGTTGCAGCTATATGAACAGTCTCTTTGTTCAATCACGCTTGTGTGAACGCTAGCTTAATTCAGGTGTGCACAAAGTTGCATCCTTCAACGATATTTGAACTTTCTGTTTCTTGTAACTTATCTATTCTTTAATTATCATTTTTCAAAGTTTTTTATAATTTTTTTATATTGTCTTGGTATTAAGACATATTTAAAACATAATTAATTCTAAAAATTAGTTTATATATATGTAAAGAAATTTAATAAAAAATAATTTATTAAAAATAAATGTGAAAATACTATGAATCTATAACTTCTTTTAGAATTATTTATTCGAGCATTAAATAATCGTTCATAATAAATGTTTGCTATGATACAGAAAAAAAGTGAACATTTAATGCAAATTTTATTTTCTTTGTAAATTTTAATTCAAATTTTCTGCAGAAGATATTTAAATAACATATTTGATGATTATGATTTTGATGATTATGCAACTTTATATATTTATGATGATAAAAGTTAAATAGTAATAGAGATTAAAAAGAATAGTTAAATAGTAATATTCTAAATTTATTTATTAGTTTTAATATTTAATATTTTAAACAGGAGATTATTAATTAATAAATGTCACAAAAATTTAAAAATTTATTAATATTCATTAATATTATTCATTATCTTTTTTTATTTTCTTTTTAAATTTTCTATACAAAAATTGAATAGGCGTTTTATTTAGACAATCAAATTCATAACAAATTCCAATGGTTTTCTTCTAAGAAATAAACTTAGACAATCCTTTCCAAGAAATAGTTTCTAGTCGGAGATAGTGTCAGAAACTGTTACGGTTTCTTTTCTTTTGTCTGTAGATATTAGTGGTCTGTTAAAATGAATATAATAAAATTGCTTCCTATTCCAACGGGTTTCCTTAATCTGTTCCTGTAATTCATAAAACTTTATCATTAAAGATTTTTTGCTGAATAAATAAAACAGCTTTCAGAAAGTAGAGAATATCTTTTTTCATATTTCAGTATTCAATACTTAAATTTCAATATATCATCAATTCAAAAAAATATATTAATATAATATTAATACAATATTTGTATTAATAACTTATAAAGAAAAAAATTAATTTCATTTAAACCTATCATTAGCATTTCTATAATACATATGCATATATTTATTCTTTGTTTTCTTTTTAATATCCTAATAGTATTTGCGTTTCATTAATAAAATAAAATAATGTACTTTGATAAATTAACTTTTTCACGCTTTGCAAATTCGATATATATGTAGTTCAAATAGATAAATAATTCTATAGACATATGTATATTTCTTTGCTAAAAGTATGGAAGAATACTTAGATAAAACCATTTGCCATATGTAGCAAAATCGCTAGATGGCCTTACGTGGTCTGTAAATTCGTTTACAAACGGATTTAGTGAACCGAATAATTCAAGTTCGAAAAATAACCACGGTCTATCCTACTTATAAGATTCTATCGGTTTCTTCTTTACCTTTGCTCTTTTGCGTTTTTGTTTTTTTTCTTCATTTCATCCCTATGGTTTCAAGGCTTTCTATAACGAATGTGATTATAAAATTATTATTAGAAAAGAAGAATATAGATTTAATGAAGAAAAATTATTATTAAAGATAATTTATTTTTTATTATGTATCAATTTTTATGCTTGAATGCTTTTAAATTCTTATTTATTTTCATTTATATAATTTTTTGAGATAGTTAAAAATAATGTAAATTATTTTGAATTCTTTTTAATCTCTTAATTTAAAAATATTTAATGTTTTTCATTAAAAAAATTTTAATGAATTTATGTAACTTCCGTGATTCCAATCATTTTTTCAATCATTATTTTGACGTAAATTCAATGAATTTTAATTCAATATATTTTTTTCTTTTATTATGATATAATTGTTGACTAATATTTGATAATCTACAATATAATATATAATATCCTTATTATATTATATTATATTATATGCATATGTTACATATATACAGTGGAATTTTTATATTTATTATTAATCTGTTTCTAAAAAATATTGAATATCGAATTGGACGAATATTAAAGTTAATTTTTTTTTATAAAAATTAACAAAAAATGAAATAATTAATTTTCAGTTGAATCAATAAATAAATAAAAATTTAAAATTTATTGAAGAGCGGTGATTGCAGAAAATTAATAAAATAAAAAATTTTTTAATGATAAATATAAAGATTCCACTATATATATATTTTTTTTGTTATTTTCTTTGACTGTTAACAATTTAAGTGCAACATGCTGCACGTGCTATGTAATTGGTCTAGAGGCAGCGCAGTCGAGCATAATTTTGTTCTCGCGAGGGGTTAATGGAATTACCGCCATGATAAAATCTTGGCAAGTGGACTGTACGATTGATATACTAGACTTCTTTGCCCTTTTCTCTCTTCTTTTTCTTTCTTTCTCGCTTACCTTGTGGAATCGTTCCTTCCCTCGAAGTTTTATTTCTCATAGTCTCGCGCAAGAGATCTTAGGATTTCTTCCAACCCTCCAACAAGTAATTTTTATGAGTCTGTATATC